AAAAAAAAAAAAAAGGAAGAAGGAAGAAAAAACCTCTGTTTTATGTAGTCTGAAAAGAGAGTAGGGAACGATTTAAGAAAAAGTAATTTCAAGATAAAGCAAAATGTTTACTCTGAAAGGAATATTCTGCTTTTATATTATTCTCATTTTCAAATATTTTGATTTTATTATTTTGTTTCAGACTAGGCCTATTTCATCATAAAAAAGCAAACACTAAACACCTTATTCAAAAGAGAGTTGAAGGAAAATATTCTGACTCTCTGAAAAACTGCTTTCCAGTTTTACAGGTAAAAACTCTTCAAGTTTGGGAACAGATGCATTTCACCCCAACGTGCACTTTTTTCAGTGAACTTAATAAAGTTTGAGAAATAAAAATATCTATTCCCACCTCAACAAGTGCCACATTCTAGATAGTGACTCTCCAGAATCAAAGAGACCACCTTGCTAAATAACAAGACAAACTCTGACTTCTGGCACTACTGCCAGGACAGCAGTAGAAGCTGTATGAAGGTCTTCTGCTTAAAAGCTCAAGCAGCAGCAGGTCTGAAAGCCTGGTGAGAATGCTAATTCTGGGGACTTCTTCCATCCATCAGCTATTAGCCATCTCACCTGACTTACTCAAGCACCTCACCACCAAGCCAGCTACGTGTTGGACTGGCCTGAGAAGGGTGCAGAAATGTCCAGTGCCTGGAAGCATCTAGGAGAGACAGAAGAAGGTGGGTTTGTGACGGCCCTGGAACTTCCATTTGGGTGCCACTTAAATTTGCCTGCAACTTTAATTCCTGAAAACAAAGTAAGCCAGATGCCCAAGCTGAGAGCATCGAAAGGAATGGCAATGCTCAGCAGTTCTGAAGAGCTTAATCCTTCCTTCTAATCTAAATTAAATTTCCTTGATTAGATTTATTAGCTAGGAGTAAAACATCCTTAATCAAGTAAAATGAGACTACCTTTGTGTTAAACTTTGTTGATGATCTGCTAATTGAAACAATGAATGCTTTACATATAAACTATTTCATATTTTCTGTTATTTAGACACGAGGTTGTTCATTGTTACAGAGATAGTAAGTTGTCATGAATTGTTCTTCTGGTAGTTATCAGAACACAAATATGAAAATTAATAAATGTTGACATGGGAATTACAACCAAATAGATTCTGAATAATAAGACCTTACAGTTCATTCAACAGCACTGCTAATAGTTGAGATTTGGCTTCCAGTACTGTGAGAAACATTTTTTAAATGCTTGAAAAATGAATTATTAATTTTCATGAGACACAGCTGTTATTTCATGAAATCACTGCAATTCCTTTCACACGTGTTCGCAGTGCATTCAGATCATGCTCCTCACCAGAATCACTCTTCTATATGCAAGCTACAAAGTGCTATTCTTAAAATCACAGTTTGATCCAGCATCTGTCTTGTTTCAAGCTATTTACCTATTATTAATATTGTGATACAGACATGGAAAAGAATTCCTGTATCAGACTGGGCCCAACCACACTGATATGTTAATCCCAGTTGTCTGCCTGTGCATCTAAACCAAAAGATTGGGAAACTGTGAAGGTATGCCAGCTCCTATCTGAGCTCAACTTCCACCTGCTGACCCTGGACCAAGTCCTGCTGTCTGTATTATCGTCAGTCTTTCACACTGTTACAACCTCAGATTCCCTCTGCCTTACTTTACTTGATATGTATGCAGCTACTGCAGAGAAATAAGGAGCAGAACGTACAAAAAATTATTTCAGTCACTGTCTTCACAAAATGAAACAATATATTTTGGCTGCTGTTCAACTGCATTATAAAATTAGATAGTTTGACCATGATCATGGTTTTGTATCCACTGGGCAACAACATTTAAAGGGAGCAATTGAACTGGAAAGATTTCATGTTTTTTTCATCTGGTCAATGCACAGTAATGTTTGTCAGTTCTAATCAAGACTGCCCAAATGCAAATGTCAAATACTTGCAACACTCTGATCAAGAATACATTACAAACAGGAGATTATTCAATTCCTTGTTGATCAAATTAAAATAACTCTGAGAAAAATCACTAACCATTCTTGGGTTGTTTGTAAATACAAAGAAAATTCTTAAATACATTCTGTCTGGTACTGATCTAACTTTCAGCTCCATCATCCATACTGTATTATTCTTTTGGCTGTGCTAAGTTTCTCAAAGCATCCAGTGTCCATCACTGACTAAACTCATGGAGGCCCTTGCACTGTGCACTCCCCACACATGGGGGTGATCAGAAATGGGACAGATAAGGGCCAGTGCTCTGTTCACTTGTATCTTCAGCAACATACAACAGAGATAAGACACAGTTCCAAGCCCTGCTGTGCTGGAGGTAAGTTTAGGGCAAGCAACAAAGTCCTGTGCTATGGGAGATAGGAATAAAAAACATGTGCAGTTCCCTCCCACTGCAAGCAAGGTAATTAAAGCTCATTTTTGGCAAGGGAAGAATCGGTCTCATCATGAAAAATGCCTCATACTGAGGGGAGCAGCATGCAACAACACAGCATCACACCACAGAGCAAGGGCTCGTAAAGGATGTGGGTTCACAGCCACGCTGAGAAAGGTGGGAGAGGAGGAGATGGGCAAGGGTAGGAAACCATGATGCCAAGCTGCTCTGTGGTAGGGCTGACAGAAGCGGGGCTGACTCATTTACTGCTTTCAACATCTAAAGCAGAGGTGAACTAACACTCTGCAACAAGAGTAAGAGAGCACCACGCCAAGAAGTCTGGCATATATATGAAAAGGAAGACATCTTGCAGGGAGGGATACAAAGAAGAACCTAAGTACCCTAATCAACATACTGCAGGCTATCATTAACTTTGTTGTTAAGATGAGATACATTTGATTTTGCCATTTAAAGGGGTCCAAGAAGTGTTGTGTGTTTTTTTAATCTCTTTAGGCATACAGTGGGAATACTGAGCAGCCATATTAGGCACGGCTGACAGTGGATAAATGGATGAATTTCTGGATACAGCACTGAATTCTACAAAAGCTACTTAAATAAATGAAAATATCAACACACAAAGCAGCTACACTAAATGCTTTCAGCAGGGCAGTTACTTGCATTGAATTTATACTTCTATATAAATGCTAAACATGAATACAGGTCTTAAGCTATTTTATCCATAACTGATTTGTCTCAGCTTCACATTTCCTCCTGTTGGCTTTCCACTACCAATTAGTCAGCTGTTCCAGGCAGAACACTTTATGCAGTTCTGCTGCTTATTCCAGCTTTCATCCAAGAAAATACACCATGCATTGCAGTGGGAATCTTGCTAGGAGAACACTACAGAAGGAACAAAGGCTACAAAGAAAGCAATTAATATTACTGGAGTACAGAAGAAGAAGCAAGTTGACTTTTTTCAACCTTGACTTCAAGGACTCTGCCAGTCCTATCCCACTAGATAAAAAATTCAGAAAAGCTTATAAAGTATTGTTAACCAATGCTTCTACTCTGTCTTGTGAAGCCGTCTCAGTTAGAACAGCCGATGATCACATACAGTGACAATGCCCCAACATTGCTTTTTGGGAACTAGAACATGCAGAGAGTAATAGAAATGAAATACATAGTTACAATATGATTCTGAGCAATTAAATGATGAAGAGACTCTTCAAAGGCATGGCTTCTTAAAGATCATAGCCATAGAGAACAGTTTGATCAGAGACAGAGCATCTGCCATATTACATTGTATGCTTACAAGCCTCACCTTGGGGCACAGAAATGGATGTTGGCACAGTTTTAACATGGTGCTCTTCAGCAATACAGGGCTCCATCTGCACACATCACATTACAACTGGACTTACACAGTCAGAATCACACATTTGAAGAGACCACTCAGTTCAGAGACAGATCTTTTCTCTCTAGTGTATTCTGCCTAAGTCATCTTTATACATATATATAGTTCAAGATTTTTTCCCCATTTCCACAACGCTGGGAGAAAACCACATATTCTTGATGTATTTCAGAAGAACCTTTACTCGAGGTGGACAAAAGAGACAATTTAATTCCGTCAGATTCCTGTGCCTCATAAATGACACATTATTTTTAACCACTTGTCAATCAAACTCTCATGTTATCAACTTGAAATTGTTTTCTGTGGTCAGCCTGAGTACCATACAAAAAAGATATCCTCCATCTCAGATATAAACTTAGGCTCTAAAATCCCACAATTTTGCTACTTTTGAGATGTGAGTAGAGTCTCATCGTGATTACGGACTGCAAAATTGTGCTTCATGTAACTGAATCTAAAGATCAGACAACACTGACCTTATCAAGAAATGAAACTTTTGGCTCAAGTTCAAACCACGTATGAGAAATCAGCTCTTGCTGGTTTGTTTGTAAACGTCGTATAAAAATGTACTCATTCATTATTAACAACTTGTAAACTGAAGGTTCTGCAGGTCTCAAACTGCTATCAAGTAGGTAAAGTATTACTCCCATCACTTCATCTAGATAATAGGCAATTCTTGTATTAATTCTGACAGCACAACTGAGCGTTCCTTCACACAGTGGTAAGTGGATTGTTATGAGAAGACAAACATTCAAATTGCATGCTAAAAACCGAGGCTAGAAGCAGTGCAAAGGGATTCATTGTCTTTATGTCTCCAGTGCTGCTGGCCTCAGTGACAGTCCTATTCCTCTACAAGATGGGCTTAAAAAGGGATACGAAGTAGAACCAAGCCACTGGTATCACACTGTTGTCACAATATGGCCTGTGGATGAGGTACAGCATATGCCATAGAGACAATAACATAACCTGTACTGGTGAGCCTCTCATTTCAAATAAAATAGACTGGAAAGCTCACAGCAAAATCCCATGCAATATTAGCCTTATGCTCTGATGATTACCACAGTCAAGTCAAAAAGCTGAGGTTTCATTAAATTTTGGTAAGAAAAATAGTAAGAAGCTGTTGTAAATGATTGTGATTGCTCTTCAGAAGAAAACCAGTTAAAAGGGAGGTTTTTAAAACTATACCATTACCTACCTTTCTTGTTCTTGCATACAGTTTTCAGGATGTGTTTTCCAGGTCCACATTTTCCATGGTCAGCAACACATATTTCTTCTGAAACGATCCACTCGTAGCACGTTGGGTCTTCACAAGGAATAGATTCAACTAAATGTGGACAACCTGCCAGGGTGCCGACAGGATCCACAAGCACATGCCTTTGCCTCATTCTAAAGCCTGGAAAAGAAGAACTGAATTAACTGGACAACTACAAAAAAATATTTATACCAATAAAGTACCAAGAGGACCTCAAAGGGCATGTGGAAGTGAAGGACATGTGGAAGTGAAGGACATAAGGAACCAAGAGAAACCCATTTGCAGCTACTGAATTGACTGGAATGGTAAGTGGCTATATTGCCCACAACCCACACACGCAAAATCTAACAGTGTGTCAAGAATTCCAACAACTCAAGTTTTTAAAATTTCTTTTTTTCCTTTTCATTAACATTGGTTAGAAAGACACATGTCCAAAACCAATAATTAACTTCTGAGGCACATATTAACATTACAGTAACACTGAGATAAAACAGAGAAATATTAAGAAAATGAAGATACAAAGAGCAATTATACCTGCCTGAGAATCCACTACTGACAATACTTGTTTCAAGGCACAGCAGAGTAGTTTACTAAGAAATTAGTATTCTGCCTTATGAAGGTGTAAGGATTTCTGATTCATAATGCATATCAGACCTCTCTGAAATGTTATCCTATTAAATTGGTAGATTCAAATGTAAAGTGGACAAAAAAGGTTACAAAAATAATGAAAGAATTGATTACATAATCTATCTCCTTCTGAATAAAATCAAAAGTCAGACAGTGATATAAGATGCAGAACTAGTATGTGAGTACCTTTCAGCCTTTCAGTGTGTTTTGTTATGTAAATGACACAGAACAGTAAGAAATGCAGAAGAAAAATGTGGTGGTCTTTCCTGCAACAGTGTCCAGATATGGGGTAAAGGTATAGTATTAGAGGAGGCCACAATACTACACAAGTATTGGCCACGAAACAGGAAACGAAAAAAAAGACTCCACAGAATACAACAGACTGAACTTCCACCATCCTCACATCAGGGAAAAAAAAAAACAACTAAAAACACCATTGAAAGCTATTTAAAAATTGAACAATTTAGCAAACCTTTATGTTTAAAAATAAAACTTTAATCCTTTTTCATTTGCAAAATTCCACAGAGCTCCAATCACTTCAGAAATTTCTGTTGGTTTCAGAAAAGCGTAACTTCCAAGTAATAACACTTTTTCCCTGACCTGAACTTCAATAGCAATCTTTCCAGCTTATTTTACAAAGGACAGAATGGCTCACCAACGAATCTCAAAGGGTTGCAGCATCCAGCATGAATTCTTGAAAATTCAGATTTAGAGAACATTGAACAGTTTTCAGATACTCTCCTTGCAGGAATTCAAACCAAACCCAGAATCATCTTTCAGCTCAGCCTGAACTCTACGCGGCAGTGCTGTGGGATACACCTCAGACCAGAGTCATTTCAGCTTCACCCAAGTCTTTCACTTCAGCCAAGGCAGACGGCAGGACTTCAGGAGACTGGAGAGGTGAGGGACACCCTCACACTCTGGAGGTTTGCAGTTGCCATCCCAAGAAATCCTCCCTTTCTACAAGTTCCATGGAGGATAAAAGGATTTGAATAAGGCTGAAAACCTTATCCCTTTTTTTCTTTCAAGAATAACTGCAAAAAGCTTTTAAAGGTCATATTGCACTTCATGTGTGCACATCTAAGAGCTGCATCCTACGTTAATTTAAAAAGACATACATTAAATTCCCAGTGCAGAATTGGACAGTGCTGCTTTTGCAATCTCATCATAATATTCCATTACCCGCTTTAGATCCCGCACAGCTACAAGAAACATGCAAATAAGCCACTACCTCTTCTTCCCTGGCGGTCCCGGCAGTCTTCGGGAAGGCAGGGCCCCCACGCCAGCCAGGCAGACACTGTGCACTCCAAGGGACAGGGCAGGTCACACAGCTGGGAGGCAGAGGGAGCAGGGCCCAGGCAGAACTTCCCATCAACTGGTCTGCTAACTAGAAGGAAACAATAGAGGGAAAACACAGGACAGTTATTTTGCCCTGACTAACGCGCGGAGCTCTGGAGATAACCGCTGGCACAAAGACACACCATAATCCACTGCTTTTTGAGGGTCTTATCTCCTAGATCAAAAAGTTAATCTTCTGTTCAGCAGGACACTTAGTTTTATCTAAATCATTCATATTCAGCAGCCCAATTTTTGACTGTGTTTAAGGGGAAACGGGTGATAAATTCTGTGCTGATTTTCTACAGTGTCAAAGCAACAGACTGGAACCTATTCCCCTGCATTTATACATGAGGGGACCTCTTCATACAGAAGAGAAAGATGCATGAGAACAGAATCCAAAAAGCTCACACAGTAATTGGGAATCAGGAAAAGGCAGGTGAGGGGAAGCCTGAGCACAGGGGGATCGGCCATGTCCATGCAGGATCCAGACCTTCTTTTTTGCTTCACTTACATTCAAACAAGCTCTCTGATCCTTTCACACACGTGCAGAAAGACTTTCTCATTTGGAAGGAGAGATGTTTATTTAATTGCCTCGAGCCAGGGAAGACATGGATGAACTGTGCAGATCTCCAAACTTCTTCATTACAGAAATGAAACAATCCCCAGCTCTGCCACACGTTAGTTTTGTTGATACTGGCAATAAATTTGGAAAGCTGACTCCCTTGCATCCTCATTTATCATAAGAGATTTCTACTTTCAATTAATGTCTCTTGCCTTTTTATTCGGGACAGGGAGGTAGAAGGAAATGAAAGGAGCTGACTTAAATCTATCTTCTGAGTCATTATATGATACTGCATTTTAATTACATGATGGGCTGAATTTGGCTGTCTCTTTAGATAAATCAGTATCAAAGCAGTCTTTCAAAAGGCACAGGCTTGTTTGAGTTTACTCTGCCATGATATGATCAAGCCTTCATTAATTTTTATAGCTACTGAGCTTGCTTTATCCCCATTTTTATTTTTAACATCTATTTTTCTTTGCTTCCATGAGTGGAACTGACTTGAAAAGAATTTATAAAAACATGTCCAATATATGAGCAATCTTTTCTTTTTTCTGATATTATACCATTTTCTATGAAATGATTCATTTGAAGAAAAACCCTTTTTTTCCTCTCAAACTCATGACTTTGCTGCCCAAAATCCCGATAAATGTTGACTTATGAGCCTAGAAGCTGAGACTTAAGACCAATAACAGCACTTATATTCCAACTCACCAGAGTAACAGGACTAAACAAAAGCTGTAATTTAATTCAAACCTGAAAGATCACATGTTAGCAAAAAGACCAGTTTCTGAATGATTTTTGAGACACTATACAGCCTTTCACATATTCATTTAGAGATTGCAACACGGTGGCATAAATCCAATTCACCTGAACGCTAACATAAGCACACCTTTCTAAAGACCATGCAAGTGAAGTGACAGACAGAATGAGATAAATACCAGAGTTCTAAGGATAAGAGTATGTATTTTGCAGAGAAGTCTCATGCTTGGCTTAACCTGCCTTTCAGCATTAAACTTTGCAAACCTGTATCATTTTTTGAAAGTTCAGTTGAATAAATGAAAGAAAATAGATTTGAGTGCATATGGTCAACACAAAAAATAAAGTACATTTCTGCTCTTCATTAACTCAAGGTGTTGTTAGCAAAGGTTCTTTTCTCCCCACTGATTTTTACATTGTCATACAGAAGCACTGTACCTATTGAAATGTGGAATACTTGACCATATAGGTAGGTTCTCCTTCCTTGAAAACTCACCAATCGTGCCAAAGGTATTTTGAAGTTAGTTTGAATAGACGAAAAACAAGAAAACTCAAAGACAAAAAGCTGAAGTGTCAGGTTATTATTGGCACGTCAAGGGTGAAACTAAGCATACTGGATACACCAGATCAATGGAAGGCTCCAGTACATGGAAAAGGCCTATAAGAAAGATGGGGAAGGACTTTTTGTAAGGGTGTGTAGTGACAGGACAAGGGAGAATGTTTTTAAACTGGAAGAGGGTAGATTTAGACTAGATGACAGGAAGAAATTCTTCACTGTGAGGGTGGTGAGACACTGGAACAGGTTGCCCAGTGGATGCCCCCTCCCTGGAAGCACTCACGGCCAGGCTGGATGGGGCTGTGAGCAACCTGGCCTAGAGGGAGGTGTCCCTGCATGTAGCAAGGGGTTGGAAGTAGATGGTCTTAAGGGACCTTTCCTACCCAAAGCATTCTATGATTCTATCTCAGAGGAAATGTGTGCTGTCCCCTACTTGCCAACCAGCATCCCACTCTTCCTCCCTCAGACTGATGCTCTATCTGATTCCAGCACTGGGTGCTCTTTTCCCCTTATGTCTCCCAGGACCAATGTCCTACTCATTCCTAGAACAAAACTGTTTTCTCACTTCTTTAAACAATTCTAAATATTCTATAAAATGTAGATCAGAAAATGCATAGACTATTCTAAACAAATATCCATATGTATTCAAGTGCTGTGCCAGTTTATTTTCACTGCACCGACTACAATCCTTCAGTGAAACTCATTTCTGAAGCCAAGATCAAAACCAAACAAGCTGCATTAAGAAATGCATATACAGCATCATCCGTTTTGAAAAACAGGAAGGAACAAAGACCCACTATTCCCAGCAAGAGAGCCAGAGCAACTGGACAGACCAGTGGGGCTCCATAAAAGAGTTTCATCACTTTGTCAGCCATTTGATTGACAACTCCTATTTCCATCAGTTGATTTCAGTCAGTTTTATTTAAAAGCCTGATACGATTTTTGTCTGAGTGTCTGCTGAAATTGACTTGCTTTTAGTCTTGTAATGACGCATTCACTTTCTAACACAAAACTGCAGCCAGAAGGAAATGTGGCAAGATTTTAAGCACAGAGGAAGAAACAGCACAGAGGAGGGCTGCTTTCACACCCCAATTTGGACAGGTCTGCCATGTCTAAGCATAATCTCTCACCCACCCTCATGCTGCGTGGCAATGGAGCACAAAGTAAGAAATCCCAGTGATGCTATCATATCTTCACAAACACTTGTCTCAGGTCTAAGATTAACTGATTCTCCTCAATTTTGCAGTTTTTTTTTCTATCGGCTTGGCCAGGCAATACTGCTCTGTCCATTCTTTGAGCCATTTGAGATGTAGCCATCTCACACCTCAACATCTCTTTGAACATTTTTTTGTTTCTTTTTCCTCAATTCTCAATTTGATTTAGCTCTTTATAGTAATACATGAATCATATACAGTTCTTAAAAAGTAATATTCACCATCCAAAGGATCTTCAACAATGCTGTTTCTTCATACTCTAATAAATATCCTTTTCTCAAGGAACCAAAAGGTACTTTTTTCTATGAACCTTTTAAATGCCAAAATTCTCACACAGAGCAGCCTCCAAATAGGTGCAGAGAGCCTGGTCTGGAAAAAAAAAAAACCCTGAGTTTATGCCTATGATGAATGAACACAGCTGCTAGGCTTGTCTTTAAATACCAGACTGCCTTGTGATTGTGCTCAATAATAGATTTGGTAATGGCATTTTCCTACACTGAAAAACTGTGTTTCTGGGGTTTGTTTCGGTTTGTATTTTTTTTTTTTTTTTAATGTAATTATTTTCCTTGGAAACCCATTAGTCAATTTTTTGGGAATAAGGGGAAAGGCCGATGTCAGGTGGGGAGGAGTGGGAGGGAGAGGCAATATCTCATTCAAGTAGCAGCTTACCTGTTACGCTTGTTTGTACATTTCAAAATCCTATGTTCTTCTCAATCTATAGAATAAACTTGAAAAAGCAATCAAGTACTAATCTGGAAGCCTCTGAAACATTGCACATTTCTCTAGCTGTTATATTGAATCTATCCTTTATAAATGCGACTACGGCTGTTCCCAGCACCGACGTCTGCCTCAAGTTTGAGTTTTACTATTTGCTGTTATTTTCAGGTTATTGCTACCAGCAGGAGATAATAAATTGGTTTCTAAAGTGTCTTGTTTCCCTACATATTTTTACCTAGGTAGTGATTTTGGGGAAGTGTGGAAGAGGGAATCAGCTCTGATACTACTTGTATAATGTAATTTTAAGCCAATAAATAAATTATCTCTGAATACAGTCATATGGGCACATATTTGCAGGCATACATACCAATACTACATCAAGTACAATGATGGCCAGTCAGAAAGAGAAATGTATAGGACTGCATTTCAGTAGCAATGATTACTTCCAAATTTAGTTTTTCACTCCACAGGAGGTAACTAACACAATCTTTTCCTGGACCTTAACTTCATTTCCCCTCCAGAACAGAACACAAGTATTTCTGATATTAACGCTCTAATGAGACACATCTAGATACTGCTAGCAGATCTGGAATGCATCAAGATGATTTCTTGCACACTGGCAGGGCCTTCTGTTGTTGAACATTCTATTCTCAAGGCAATACAACCAGATATTTACTACATCTTTTGGCAAAGTTATGCTTAATTAAGACTAACCACAGTACACAGAAGGGATGCTGCATCTTTGTAAAACTTCTTGCTACCTTTTTCAGCACATATGAACCAAGACAGTTGGATCACTATGAAGGGAAATTACCCAAGAAAATCACGAGGGAATGAATTGTTATAAAAACACCTGTATGTGTGTAACATAAGAAGGAGAAACCATCACAACACTGGTGTGCAATTTCTCCAATCTGAAAGACTTTTATAGTGAAAATAAAAGATTAGACAAAGGAGATGTGTTAAATGTAACTGAAGTAGTGTGGAGACAGCATAAAACCCAGCCCATTGCACCACCTCATCAAAAAAGGCTTCATGCAACCCATCCCTGATGGCAAGGATCCTTTTATGCTCCCAAAGAGAATCAATTAGTTTGGAAGCCACAAGGCATACAGTTGAAACCCTATTATGAATTAAAGGACAAGAAACAAAGTATGAACTGAAAGCTCATCACAGCATGAAAAAGAAAAAGTTAATAGTGGTTTACGAATTTCAGAACAACAAAGATCCTTACCATTTTACTG